TGGGCCGCGGTCGGGGCTGGGCGTGGGGCGGTGCAGGGGCGGCTGACGCAGTCGCTCTGGCCCGCGCTCCCTCAGAAAATCGCGCTGCAGCTCAAAGCCACGCTGGAAAACGTCACTAACCTCCGGCCTGTGGGCGAGGACTTCCGGTGGTACCTGAAGGTAGGGCTGTGGAGCGGGGCATCGGGGCGGGGCGTGGTCGGAGCTTCCGGCTGGAGCCTCCAGTCCAGACCTCCGTACTGAGCAGGGGTTCTCAGAAGTCTTTGACCAGACCCATTCATATTCGAGAGTTTTTCTGGTTAAATTGTTCTAGCTTTTTTTCAAGTTTATTAGTTACTCCTTAATTGGCAGTCTCAGAACGCTTCCTTCTGTACTTTTGCCCTTCATTTGATATTTCGTTGTTTGTAAACAGACACTGAATGAAATATTTGAAGGGACCTTGCGGTTACTCAGGTGATAATTTCGCCCTACGTTTTACTTTTTGGCTGGGTTTTACTTATTGTGAAATGGTTTAATTTTGTGTGTGATTTACCCTTTGTTATAAATTTGGTGTCGTGTTGGCGTGGTCTGCAGAGATTCTCCTCTTACCTCCCTGTAAGTTTGAGGTCCTTCACTAATCACGATCTGCTTGACTTTACTGCTAGCCTAAATCTCAGCATCCTTCTGCACCCATTTTTCCAGACGTCACCTCTCACCACTCTATTTCCAATATTTTGAAGCCAGAATGCCAGGGCTTATTTGGGGAATAAGTGTTTTTTTGCTTTCAAGAATCACAGACTTGGGGACCAGCAGGTGGCATGGTGGCTAAGAGGCTGTACACTCCCACAGGGCTGATCACGGTTTGAGTCCCGAACCTGACAACTTGCTTTCTCACTTTCCCTCTCTTTTTCTCTTCTGTCTCTGGTCAAATTAAAATAAACAAATGAATAAAAACAGTTTAAAAAGTAATAATTCTTTAAAAAAAAAAAAAAAGGAATCTCAAACTTGGGGCCAGCTGGTGGTGTGGTGTTAAGAGGCTGGATGACCACATGTCTGGGTGTGTGTGCATGTGTGCCCAAACTCCCAGGATGGGAATAGAGGAGAAGGGGTTGCTGCGTGGCCATCCCCTGGAGGGGGGAGGGGGGAAGCTTTCTCACTTTCCCTCTTGCACTATGGCAAAAGCCTATAAAAAAGCACATCGCCAGTGAAGGAGACAGAAAAGTATAATAACAGTGATAAATATTTAATCCAGGGATTTACAAGGTCTGTGGGAATCAAAGGAAGCTCCTAACCAAGCAGAGTTGGGGCTGACAAGGTGGGGGAGGGAGTGGTGGTGAATGACGAAGCCATTTCCATACTACGTGAGCCTTGAATTCTCAACCAGACTGGACATCCCTTAGAGTAAGTTGGCCTGTTCTTTGCCCAGAGATAAGTCTGGTTATGTCCTTGTTGGGGCTAGTCAGAAGGATGAAATGAGACTGCCAACAAGCAGGTAGGTTATGAGCCAGCCTACCTCATGCTGTTCTTACCCTTCCCCGGTGTCTACCCAGCTGAGCCAGCTGCTGGACTAATATTCTTTTTCCTCCCCCAAGATGAAATGTGGCAACTGTGGTGAGGTTTCGGAGAAGTGGCAGTACATCCGGCTTATGGTAACTTTCCCTTCGCCTCCATACACACACAGACACAGCTCTGGGCAGAAATTTGGGGGAACTGACCCTCTGGTTTTGGGACCTGCTTTCTGTGAGTTGGGATGGGGGTAGGCATCAGTGTGATTAGTACTGGGGACAACAGGTGTCCTTAGGCTAGGAGGCGAAGTTCAAAATCAAGGCAAAGTCCTTTCTTCAGTCTCAGGAAGCCTTCCCAGGGTTCTCATCATAGTCTGTTGCTTGCTCTCTCTGGATAGTAAGTAGTGGGATTAGGTCTCCTCTGGACCCTTGCATCTAAATGATACATGACTAGAGGTTCTGTTTGCTCTTTGCAGGACAGCGTGGCTCTGAAGGGAGGCCGTGGCAGTGCTTCCATGGTCCAGAAGTGCAAGCTGTGTGCACGGGAAAACTCCATTGGTAGGTCATGCCAGGAACGCTGAGTTCTACAGGCTGGCCCACAGCTTCCTGTTACCAGCCGAAAGCAGGCTCATGTTACCTGTGAGTGGATTCAGGCCTCGGTGCTGAAGCCTGTGCAGCAATCGCTCTTCCCTAGGGCCACATCTGGGCACCTGGACTCAAGTCAACTTTGTCTTTTTCTATGTTTCAGAGATTTTGAGCAGCACCATCAAGTCTTACAATGTAAGTGTATTTTAACAGAGGGAAGGGGTTAAATCTAGACTGGGAGCTAGGAGGCTGGGTTCTAGAGTTACAGCTGCATCAGAGTGACCTGCCATTGGACACTCAAGTACCTATTCTTTTGTTCGTTCAGTCACTTACTCACACACTGAGTACTTGGTAAGGGAAGGACTCATGAGCAGGCTGTTGCAGTGCCTTCACATAAGCACTGAGCTGTGGGGGCTGTGGGAGATGGCACCACTGGCTGACCTACTGCTCATCAGTATGCATCTCTGAGAGTGCGCATCCTGTCTACACCTCAGGGACTAGCAAGGCTGCTCTGAAGCCAGGGGTAGGAACGGTGCTTGGGAGTATCCCATCCTTGACAGCATTGATTGTATTATATATTAGATTTTTGGGAAACTTGTGACATATTTTCCTATTCAAAAATGCATCATGATTTTCCCAACAACCCAATAATTATACATTCTAACTGATAAGGTGAGGGAGGGGGCATGTGCTTTGTGTCTGTTTGCTTAAAGAAGAGCCTTTGTTTTGAATTCATCTGTTCTTTATTTGGTATTTGTTTTAAATGTTGGAATTGTGCAAAGTTCTCAGCTTGCTCTTGAAGCTAAGGAGAGAAAATAAGTGAGGACTCACTCTTAGGTAAATCATTGTCCAGTGGAAGATAGACCAGCAAACAAAAAAACAAACATGACAAAGGTGCCTCACTAGTGCCAGACACATGGTTGGTATGCAGGAAATGATTTTACAGGATGAGAGTGAATGTGTGGGCATGGCACTTGGGGTCTTTGAGCCTACAGGTCAAGTGAGCATGAATTTTCTGGCTACACATCCCCCCGAGAGGTGCTCTCTCCACACATACCCCATTTCAAAGGCTTTAAGTCAGCCCTCTGCCCTTGCAGTATGGCTAAGTGTGCTGGGTCCATCTGGAGACTTTGTAGCCTAACACTATTATTCATATTTTTGGTATTGAGAATTTTTTTAAAAGATTTATTTATTTATTTTAATTTGACCATAAAGCGATAGAGAGAAAGGGAAAGTAAGAAAACAAGCTGCCAGATCCAGGATTTGAACCGTAGTTGACCATGTGGGAGTCTGGTGCCTTAACCACCACACCACCTGCCAGCTCTAGTATTGAGAATTTTACCTACCTTTTTTTTTTTTTTTTTTTGT